ATTGAAAAATATATGCGAGAATATTTCTACCAGCTTTATTTACAAGAACTAAATTTCTTAGCTCAAATGTTCATTAAGTGAAAAATGATTTTAAAAATTGTGAAATATTTATATAATGCAATAATGTACATTGTTAAAAAAAATGAGCAAACTGCTGATATACCAAAAAAAAAAAGGGTAAATTTCAAAAGAATACATTCCATATGTCCCTTTTACATGAAATTCGAGAACAGACAAAATTAATCTGTAGAAATAAAAGTCAAAATTATGGTTATCTGTGAAGTGGAGGCAGTTACTATATATTGAAAGCAAGAGCTAATCTTCTATAAAACTGGAAATACTTGTCTCCATTTTTATCTGAGTGGTGTTTATATGGGTATATTTATATATGAAACTTCCTCAATGTGTATACTTGAGACTTGTGTTTTTATTCTACTTAATCTATGCTTTTATCTTTTAAAACAGAGTTCTCTCTGGGTTCTGTGGATATGTGTATCCTTTCTAGTCTTGGGTTATGCACAGGCAGAGCCTCCCCAGTAGAAAAGAGTTCTCACCCAGCATGTACTTGAGCACATCCTTTTCACCAAGTAACACAGAGGTTTGCTTACATTACCTGTCTATAAAAATTCCTCTCAGAGCCCAGCAGCAGATCCCCAATATACCCTAGACCTACTTCTTAAGGCAGTCTTAGGGTGAGAAGTTTGCATAGTTTGTAACATGGACTCATAGGCTTAGCTTGTTGTTGTTATTATTATTAATGTTGTTTTGCTTTGATAGTTTTCCACTTATAACAACATCCAGGATCTAAATACTTTCTAATCTGGAAGGGAATATAGACCTTTCCAGGTGAAATTATAGAGTTTTTACTTATTAAATAGCACTTAGTTCTCAGACTATTTCTTGTCTCCATACTTGTTCCTTCCTTGTTTCCTTTCTTAAACATTTCAGATAGCTTTTGGCCTTTAGAATACCACTACTTACTTTGTGTGTGTGTGTGTGTGTGTTTTAGTTGTAGATGGACACAATATCTTTATTTATTTATGTTTATGTGGTGCTGAGGATCGAACCCAGGGTCTCACACCTGCGAGGCAAGTGCTCTACCACTGAGCTACAGCCCCAGCCCCAGCCCCACTACTTACTCTTATATAGCTTTAACACCATTTGTTCATCTTTTGTTACTCTTTTCTTTCTCAACTAATTATCCCTCAATTATTTCTTCTGAGTCATTTGGTTTGATATGTCGCTGATTGGGTATTTGGGAGCTTTTTTTTTTTTTTTTTTTTGGTTCCATTTTGAGTTACTTGAAACAAAGCTATTATAAATTCTACATTAATAAAGTGAAATTGAAACAACTATGTCATTAAAAATAACAAGATGCATGGCATTATTACCAACTGCATGACCTTCATCAATTCACATTGGTAAAACTTGGCTAATAACATTTTAAATAAAACCAAGGGGCCACTTACCCAGAAACTTACCTTTAGGTTAATATTTTTACAATTTACTGGGTAGTCTTTGGTTATAGTGAACTTCAAAGAATCTCAAAGATTGTCTACCCTACCTTCTTTTCAAATTTTTTATATATGGAAACAAAGAAGTATAGAAGTTATATCACTGGCATCATCATAAGAAACTAAGCTTGTATAACATCAAGACTCCTTGCTTCTTGATTTATTTCCACACTATGAGAAAGTTAGCCAAATGTTGGGGGCAGGGGTTCATTGCTGAAATCCATTCTATTTACCTGAAATTGCCAGTCTAATCCAGCTCTAAAATTATTTTAGTACAGTTTTTAAACTTTAATTTTGACTGATACACACAAAAATAAAAAAAATTTACATGTTAGTTAGGTACCCTGTGACGTTTCAACTGTAAAATAGTAGGTACTATGATTTCAAATCTCCCCTTGAGACTGAATTTGGGTCAATCTGCCTATTAAATTTCAAATAAAACACTAAAGTAACTAAAACAGACAATTTGTTGAAAACACCTCCCTCCTCCATTCTTGTGAAGAAAAAAGAAATTTGAGTTTTTAAAATTATTTCATTAAGATAATATAATAATTTTGGCATCTTCTTCTAGACAGGCACATGGATAGAAGATAGGTTGATGAATAGATAGGTGAAGAAATATATAAAAGGTAGACAGATGGAGCTCATACTATTTAGAACATGAGCATAAAACTAAATATAAATATCCAGACCAAAAAAAAAAAAAAAAAAAAACAGTGTTCAGAAGACTAAAGGTGAATGGAGATATCCGGATGATATTGTGAACAATAAAATGAGTCCTGAAGATTTCGTTATTGTTTTTTTTTTTTCCTTTTCTTTTGTTCATTTATTTATTTTTTTGGCTTAGCACACCCAGAGCAGGAATAAATAAGGGGAAGCCTTTGTTTTTTTGTTTGTTCTGATCTAGCACAGATGTTATCCTATTCATAGGTGATAGGAAGAATAAAGAATTACTCCGCTCTTCTTGCTCCTCCTTATTTAACAGGGAAAATAATCTTCATATTGGAAAGATTCAGAGAAGTGGGCCTTATACTCAAACATGAATTCGAATCCATATGTTGCTTTTAGAGTCAGGGATTTTGTGCAACTTATCTGCCCTAAGTCTCACTTCAGTAGTAGTTCTAACCCCAGAGGTTTAGGAGTATTAAATGAGATAATGCATAACAGCGGTTATGATACAGGGGATGGAAACCCCAAATAGGTAAGAAAATAAAAAAGACTTTTAAATTAGACAATATTTTAGCATTAGGAAGACTTACACCCCAGTGTGCTGCTAAAACTTGAAAAAGCAAAAGTGATACTATTGCCAGTAACCTTTGAGAAGTTGTTGCAAATGCTAGATATGTTAGCTTACTGCTCCAATTTTCAAAAGGGAGGGAAAGGAGGATTCTCAAGATTTGGTAATTCTAAACAGTCAGATAGAAGTTTTAACCCCCACAAAAATTCCAGATGGTTTTAGATTATGAAACAGATATTCTATGTGAAAATATTTTGAAGGAAATTGCGATTACTGAAACTGGAGCCTAATCCAATGCAAAAGTCATGCTGAAAACAAGACTTTCTCTTTTTGTTTTTATTTTTATTTATTTATTTTTTTGAGCAGCTCTAATACTAATCAGAGAATGCCACAGACACATAGTAAATCTGCTCAAGGGCCTGTGACAAAGGTGACATGAACTTTCAATATACTAATGCATGTTACAAATACCCAGACGAAAATACTTGATATAATGCTTTCTAAATTATTTGACTACATAGCCCATTTTCTGCAAAGCATCTAATAAAGTCTTAAAGAAATTGGATTGGGCAGAACATGAGGACACAACAGACTAAGCCCAGCAGTAGTAGCCTCTATTGGTCAGGCAGCCTTTGCTGTGTTGTGTTTATTTACAAATGCCGCCCCCTCCACACTTCTTTTTTTAAAGGAACCCAGACAAACTATAATTTTTTCAAAGAAGGAAACCAGAGTAACGAATTATATAAAGATATACCTTCCTAAAAGCAAGAATTATAAACCCTGGGAGAGACACCTGGGAACGAGGTTGTGGTAAAAATCAATTGCAAAATATTCAATGAATGTTATATGGGGAAGGAATTGAATCCAGTGTGTTTCCTTAAGCAACCAAAAATAAGAGTACTATTTAGAAGTTACATACAGGCAGATTCTGGCTAAATATAAAGATTTTTGTGAAAGTACTTGTCCTAGGACTTAACAGTCTAGAATTATACATCAACCCTGACACTTCTTAGATAGGAATTCTTGAACAAATCACTCAACTTCTTAGAAACCCAGTCTTCTTATCTGTACTGTGGGGAAGCTCATGGAGGCACAGAAAAGAATAAATCTCATGCTAAGTTTGAAAAGAATCACACACCGTTCCTGGCACAGATGAAGAGCTCCATAAGCGGAATTATTAGCACTACGAGTAACATGTGAAGCTACCCCAAAATGAAAAGGATGGAGTCCATCTGACAGTAGAGAAAAGCTCAATAGTGGAATTACATAAGCATATTTTTTAATCTTTCAAAAAAAAAATAAATGAATTTTAATTTAATTAGGTCAATCGGATTAATTCAATTGATCAATTGTGTAAATTAATTTAACTAATCTCATGAAAATCAAAGAGGCATCAATAGAGTAGAGGAAAGGAAAGAAGGGGAGTGAAGAGGGGAAGAAAACGAGAAATACTGGGGAAATAATATATATATTTTATTTTATATATAATATAGTACATTATGTTGCTATATTGCATGCAGATATGAATATGTAACAATGAATCCCACCATTCTGTACAACTATAATGCACCAATTTTATAAAAGGGGGAAAAAAATGGAAAGCTGATTGGGCAACCAAAAGAAAGTAGGTGTGACTAAGTTCCGATCCCTTTGAGCTTGCAGTCACACTGAGCCTGGAAGTTAAAGGCCACTATAGTAAACAACCATAAGGCAAGGATAAAAGCCTTCAAAGTTGCAAGAGGCTCAGAAATTACCAGAACAGATGATTTTTGAGGGAAAGATGGAAGGCTTCATGCTACCTTCTCGTTAATAATTCTCATTGTCCTCCTTGAGTTAAGAGACTTGCAGAGTTACACCGAATCAATCAACACTTCAAGAAATGCAGCAGGTGGACTTTTGTCAAAGGTTTCAGCAGCCCTAGATTTCTAAAAGTGGTGTCCAGCCTTGTAGCTGTCCTGTTTATCCCCCTGTTTTGTTGTCTTAAACAGCCACTTTCCCATTTGGAACCTGGAGCTGCTGCTGACAAAACAGGAAGTGATTTGAATGCAATCTGCTTTTGTGGGTTTCTGGACTTCAGGAGTTTTAAAACAAGTTTTAGCTGTTGCCAAAAGTGCCTTGCTTTACTTCCTCTATTTCTTATAGAAAAAAAAAAAGTGCAACCCTGTAGGGGTTAAAGTATTGGCACAAAGTACAGAACAAATGCTGACTTAATGAATGTGCTTAGCTTTTTTTTTTTTGAAAGAAAACATTGGGGGTGGGGAGAGAAAAAGGGAACTGGGAAGAGAAGGAGAGGAAGTTAAACCTTGCTTCCCTCCCTATCTTCCTTAGAAAACCCAATATGGCATCTTCCATGAGGAGCTTGTTCTCTGACCACAGCAGATATGTTGAATCTTTTCGGAGGTTTCTCGACAATTCCACGGAACACCAGTGCATGCAGGAATTCATGGACAAGGAGCTGCCAGGCATAATAGCAAGGTAACAAAAAGGGACGTGTTTGTCAAAGGGACAAGCCTGGGATCACTGTGCGCCAGTGATAGATGGGCTGAGCCCAGCCCCGCAGGCTGGGCGCGGGGATAAGGGGAGTTGCTGATAGCAGCTCCTAGCAGCTCCCCCTCTGCCTCTCCTCATGCCCTCTCCTGCCTGTCTCCTGCAGTGCTTTGGTTAGACGTTCTCTTTGCTTTAAACACTCAAAGGCTCCTATTTGTGCTGTATTTCCAGCTGCACAGAGATAAGTGTTAACTCTTTGAAGGCACAAAATCCATGTTCATGGGAAAACATAAGATACAAATCTTTGTAGTCAGATTTTTCAGCCCTCCTCCAGATTTTTACATTTCAAAAAAGTCCCAAATGGAATACAGTATTCTTTTCATTAGAATCAAATACAAATAATTGCAAAATGCCATTGACTCCTGAGAATTGAGTGGGTACCTCTCAGTTCTCATCATAATATGCATTTAAATTCATTTTCCTTTGTCCCTTATAGTTATCAGTCTTCAAAATATTGTCTTTTCCTTTCAACTTAGTATTAGCAATGTGGTCCTTGAAAAAGAGCATTTTCTCATTATCAGTGAAACCGAACTGACTAGTTTTCTTTCTCCCAGACTCACCCTCCTTTTTTTTTTTTTTTTTTTTTTTTTTTTGGTGTGTGATTAATGTGTTCAATTTGTGCCAGAGCTGATAAGCATTATGAGAGTAACAGATTCCACATGCTAAAGATAATCAAATCACCTATCTGGGGATGAATTGCTACAACTCCCTCTGCTTCAGGAAATAATGATGGAAAACTGGGAAGAAATGATTGACTGTGGATCCAATTTGCAGACAGCAAAGGAATGTGATATTTTATTGTTTGCTAATTTCTCTATTACAGGCCTGACATTCTCTCACCACAGCAGTATCAGGGTCTGATCAGAGCAGACATTGTTGGATGTATGTGGAATTCTACTATCTCCATTATATTGGAAATTTTTATTCAATTTTCATTACAGAGTTTACTTTTTAAATGCTGCTTCTAAAAAATAACAGTATTACATAATGTATTAAGATTAATATGTAATGGAGTAATGATATAAAAATCAAAGTAGATAGTAAAGACAGATAAATTCTTATTTAGGAACTAATTATACATTATTTCTTTAGGTCTTTTTGCTCATTTCTAAAATTAAAGATAATGATTTAATTTCTGCATTCTTTTCCAGCCCTAAAAGAACACATTCCTTTCTTTAGCTTATCCAGATCCTTGGCTTTCTAAAGCCACACAACTTTTTCTGAAAAGGTACCTTGGATCAATATAACATAATCAATAATTAATGATGGATGCCCCTTCCCCTCCCCTGTCTTCAAAGAATATCCAGATCTAACTGGAATGTTGAAAGTTAATTTTTGAAAGGCTGATGAATTTTCAAAGTCATAACTAAATTTGCATTATAATGGCAATATAGAGTTAGGAATGCCTGAGTAAAAATGTCCTTCATTAAGAAAGTAAATTTTTCCTGAAAGTAATGTTTGAAATTTGACTTTAATTGAAGGGACTTTAAAGATTTTGCTTGAGGTTGTTTATAAGTTATGAGGCACTAAAAAGTGGTTCAGAACTTCACTGTGTATGTAAGGGTAGGGTTGGCTGTTAATTGGGTGTGGACTCAGCCTATTGAATTTAACATTTTTATTAGAACAAGACATGTTCATATTTTAAAAAGTCAGATGGTTCTAAAAAGCTTATAGTAACAACAACAAATCGTAGTCTTCTATCCTTCCCACTCTCCAAAAGCAATCACTTCCAAACCTCAAAATATTTTGTTGCTCATGGAATTTTTTCATAATCTAAAATACATATAATTCTTTTATTTCTTAATTTTGTTCTACTAAAATAACTAACTAAACATACATTTTCCCTGCCGCAGTCCGGCTGCATCAAAATAACCGGGGGGTGACGAGCAACTTGTGTAGATTGATACAGCAGGAGTGAGAGCCAGTTTATTGTAGGACAGGAGGGGTATATATACATTACACACAGCTTATCTTAATTAACATAAACTAGATACAGCAGTCAACCAATAAGGAATCTCCACACTTAATGGCTAGCTGGTTACTTCACAAACCATTCCCTCTGGCAAAATGCCAGGCACCATCCTGACTTGTTTACAGACTCTAACATTTCCCCATCTATTATGTCCAATTGTTTGGTTAAATAATTTGAGTGTCTATACCATTTTTTCTGTTTACATATTATTCATAATTGAACAATATTTATACGCATTACATTTATTTTTCATGTACAACTTTGGGTCTTGCCTATAATTGACAATGATTGTCTGGATTTTGGATTTTTATGTTTCTATTACTACAATGATGCCCAAGCAGCAATTGCTAAAAATAATGTATTTAGTTTTCTCATGGAAACATCTTTTCTGGAGCCTTCTGTTCTTTTCTGCAGTCTGGGAAGATTTGCTTTTGGCTGGCTATATAGCTATTGATGAGGGAATGTGTTTAATATTCTAGAAATTTTTTTCTCTTCAGTATTTGATTTCCTGATGATAGATTGGTGGATTTCAGGCCTTTCTTTCTGGATATCTTTAGTCCGCCCCCCCCCCCCTTTTTTTAACCTGAGCTAAAGTTGTAAGAACTTTAAGGGTGAATGAGTGGTGGTAAGCTTTGTGAAATTTTTATATTTAAAAATGCCTTTACTCTCTGTTTATCCCCATAGATAGTTTGACTGGGTATAATACTCTACTGAAAATGATTTGTATCATAAATTTATTTTCTGTTTTTCATTTGGGGAGATACCCAACTACCCAAGAAGTCTCTCTCTCTCTCTCTCTCTCTCTCTCTATATATATATATATATATATATATGATCAATAATAATAAGGTACTAAAAAGTGGTTAGTACCCTATTTGTCTATGTATGGGTAGGGTTATTGAGTGAGTGGCTCACAGTGGTAATTGAATATAGACTCAGTTCTTTCCTGGGAGATCCTCAGGTACATAGAAGTTTACTACTCAGATTGCTTGTTTCCCCAAAGAGTAAATCTCCAATTTCTTTTCTGGGGTTGGAGGGTGGAGTAGGGTTCAAGGGTTGGTTATAGTATATAGTTGTCAGTAGTCAAGTTTGTTATTGTTGTTACATATAAAACATATGTTTCTTTGCCTCAGTAATACCAAGTGTTCAGTAATTATTTGTTACCATTTTAATATATTTAATGGGACAATAATAGTATCTTACTCACAGAGGAGTAAGTTGTGAGGATTCCAAAAGTTAATTCATGTAAATCACTTAGCTATGTCCAGAATCACAGTAATTGCTAGCAAATGTTGAGTGCTTGCCACAGAAATATAGAAATATATTTCTAAGAGATTTAGATGAATTAAATAATTTAATACAACTCCTATATGACTTAGATACAATTATTAACAACCTTGTGAGGTAGGTGATATTATTACCTTGTTTAACAGAGAGGTCAAATAAGTTGCTCAAGGTAACATATCAGTAAGCTGGGATTTCAGCCTGGATGCTCTGCTCCATAGTCCCCCTGTGCTATCCACAGATATAAGCATTTTTAAAAAGGAGCACAAGATATAGTTAGATGAAGGTGAGTATACTAAGCCTCATGATTATAACGTGGCAGTTGATTGGAACTGTCTTTTTCTCTAGCCTTCCTTGCTTCTTCCAGAACCAGGGTCCACCTGTCCCATTCTGTTGCTCCATGAAGACTCCTTCCCTTGAGCTGTATCAAAGGTGTTTATCAACCCACAGTCCAAATGTTGCTGAAAGCTCAGACCTTGTCCCTGGTACCAATCCAATAATGAGGACATGGTTTTGAGACAAAGGAAAAAGAAGGTTTATTCTTTGCTAGCAAAGGAGAAATACAGGGGACTCCTGTCCCAGAGCCTGTGATTCTGCCCCTCAGCCGGAACAGGGAGCTTTTATTTTATTTTATTTATTTTTTTGTAGTTGTAAATGGACGGAATGCCTTTATTTATTTATTTTTAATTTTTTTATTCTAACTTGTTATATATGACAGTGGAATGCATTACAATTCATATTACACATATAGAGCACAATTTTTTATATCTCTGGTTGTATACAAAGTATCTTCACACCATTCAGGTCTTCATACATGTACTTTGGATAATGATGTCCATCTCATTCTACCATCATTGTCTAACCCCCTGCTCCTTCCCTTCCCCTCCCATCCCTTTACCCTATATAGAGTTCCTCTGTTCCTCCCATGCTCCCTTTCCCTACCCCACTACGAATCAGCTTCTTTGTATCAGAGAAAACATTCGGCATTTGGTTTTTTGGGGATTGGCTAACTTCACTTAGCATTATCTTCTCCAACTCCATCTATTTACCAGCAAATGCCATAATTTTATTCTCTTTTATTGCTGAGTAATATTCCATTGTGTATATATATCACATTTTTTAATCCATTCATTTGCTGAAGGGCATCTAGGTTGGTTCCACAATTTAGCTATTGTGAATTGTGCTGCTATAAACATTGATGTGGCTGTGTCTCTGTAGTATGCTCTTTTTAAGTCCTATGGGTATAGACCCAGGAGAGGGATAGCTGGGTCAAGTGGTGGTTCCATTCCAAGTTTTCCGAGGAATCTCCATACTGCTTTCCATATTGGCTAAACCAATTTGCAGTCTCAGCAATGTATGATTGTGCCTTTTCCCCCACACCCTCTCCAACACTTATTGTTTGTACAGAATGCCTTTATTTTATTTGTTTATTTTTATGTGGTGTTAAGGATCAAACCCAGTGCCTCACACATGCTAGGCAAGCACTCTGCCACTGAGCTACAGCCCCAGCCTAGAACGGGGCTTCTAAAGTGTTGATTCAAAGGCTACCTTCTGCATGTTCTCTGTTGGAATTGTAATTCACTTGTTAATTTGGAAGATAGTCATTTCTGAGATCTTCTGGCACCTTCCCCAACATCTGGATTACTTTGTTCCTATAGCGGGTGTGTACTCAGGGACAGATAAATTTATTGAGGATGGGGAGGAAAGGTAATACAGTTTCCCTGAGATTAGGGAGGGGGAGAGATTAGGGAGGAGCATGGACAGAGGAAAAGAAAGAAACATGTCCATTTAAAAAAATAAGTCCCAGTGGCAGAGCAGCAAGGGCTATGTTCAGATCATAAAATGGCCCACTGTTACACAAACACAAACATCACCCAGTTCATGTTTTCCTTCTACTTGTCACCTCTTCTCTTCTCACTCTTTAATCTGATGTTTGGCCTTAACTTTCTTTTAAGCCTGTTGTTATCAAACCGATTCATATTGCCAAATCCAATGGACATGTTCTCCTTTGTTATTTCTTTGACACTGCTGGTGGCTGTCTCTGTCTCATTCCCCTTGCACCTCTGAGCTTTGTCACTCTTTCCCTATTTCCATTGTGTCTTCCTTATAATTCAGTGACTTTTAAAAGTTTGGTGCTACATCATCATCATCCCTCTGCTCTTCTCGCTTGGCAACATTTTGGGGTGGTGGAGTGCACTCTCCTGCTTGGCCATTACCTTATGATGATTATTTTCCAGAATACGTCATTGATGCCTGACCCTCTCCTACACAGTTAATTTTGCATGTCCAAGTATCTTCTGAATTCAGATTTCTGAATAAAAGAACTGACAAAAGGTAAACTTGCTGTGTCAAACTATATTCTCTGCCACCCTTTACCCACAGAAACATGACAGTCATTGTACACTTATATTTTTTTTCCTGACCCCTTTCTATCCATCTACAAGCAGGTGCTACTAACTTACTTGCCAGTTCATCTATTCTTCTCTGTTTCTAGTTCTTCTCTGTTTCAGGGCTTTGTTATCTCACATTTCAAACTGAGAGCCAAGTAGTATCTTACTCATTTTTGAACCTCAGAATCTAAGGCTACATACATAAGTAATAGACATTGTTTATTGAAAGAAAGGTGGGAAGCTGGGAATAGTAGTGCACACCTGTAATCCCAGCCGCTTGGGAGGCTGAAGAAGGAAGATTCCAAGTTCAAAATCAGCCTCAGCAACTTAGCAAGGTCCTAAGCAACTGAGAAAGACCCTGTCTCAAAATAAAATATAAAATGGACTGGGGATGTGGCTCAATGGTTAAATCCCTGGTACCAAAAGCAAAACAAAACAAAATGAAGGTGGGAAGAAGGACAGGAAGATAGCAGATATCACAGACATAGGGTGAACCTCCTGTCCTTTGCCCTGTGTACTCTGAAGGGCTGATCACGTCACTGGACTCAAAGGTCCTCATTTATTTTTTCTTGTTCTCCAAACAATCTTCAAGCAAATGGTATGTCATACCTTTACAATGTTCCTAGAGCTGTGTTTAAGTCTCCCAGGTCAAGACTGTTGATGAATGGAATCTGTATGTTTACAAAGACACTCTAAAGAGGGCACTAGAACCACTGAAATAATTGAGACCTTTCATGTTAACCCAGTTTCTGTTTATTGTATTTTTAGTCTATTTTCTTCAAATAGACTTGGTAATCAGATTTTACAAAGCACCTTGCACATTTTTTGTAAAGTACATTTTTTTTTGTTTGTTTTTCAGGATTGGAGATGCAAAATCAGAAATTAAGATTCTGAGCATAGGCGGAGGTGCAGGTATGAATAATACATTTTAAAAGTTTGTATTTTACTGTAAACATCATGTTATTTGATGGCTATCTTTTTTTATTCTTTAGAAAAGCTACTTTGTTTTTGGAAAAGATCAGCACATTAAAACTAGCAATATCATGTCAACTGAGATGAATGCCCCTATAGATTTATAGTTTAGGGCATTAACCTTCATTACTATCTGTAACGTGGATAAGTGACGTGACTCTCTTATCCTTTTTACGAATGGGGAAACAGAATAATTTGGAAGTTTACTTTTATCCAAAATGATTTCACAGAAAAGAAGAAGTTCATATGAAGTTTCTTAGGTTTGTGCCACGGGAAGCCTGGTCCATGCATTGGTCACTGGTATATGAGCTGTGGTTCATCTAGCCTCACTAGAAAGAATAAGTGCTTGATGGTGTAATTCATTTACACTGTTGTGACGCTACTTTTCAAGTTGCATTGGTCTAAAACCACTCCCTTCTTCTGGTTGAGTTTCAAAACTGCCTTCTAAGCATTTGAAACACTCCCCAAACCTTTTAAATATGGTCCCACTATTCTTGGAGCTAGTGCAAAAATGTGAACTCTGGAAAGGCAGATAAATGTGATGTCATTTCTAATGGCCCCTAATGATTTGTATGATCTAGGCTGAGACAAAAGCTGCAGTTTTCTCGTCAGTAAAATGAGAATAACGGATTTTTATCTCATAGGATTGTAGTGAGAATAGTATAATTAAAATGTTTATAAAGTGCTTAGCATATTGTTGTTCCTATAAGGCAAGGGCTGTTCCCTTCTGCAAAAATAAAACAAACTTTAACTCATGACTTTGCCTCTTACCAATGCCCAAGTAGTATTTGCTTTATTTTTAAGTTACTAGTTATATGAAAGTTTGAGTTAATATGTTAATATAAAATATGTTAATATAAAATATGTTTTATTTAGATACTGTTTTCTTTTACTGGAGCACTGGTTTAGTAATGATTACCACTTAGTAACACTGATACTAACAATTGTTACTTACTGCTAAGTGGTAATCTCTGGAGTACATGGGTTCCAGTGACACATGAATGAGTTGAATTTTGACCTATGTTAACACAAAGAAAACCCAGAGCACTCTAGCAAGATGGAGTGACTAGTTTTTGATAACTTTATTGGTTCATTTTTCACAAAATGCACTGTGATATAATCTAATAAGGACAAATCCTTAAAATCATTTTACTTTGTTATCATCTTTCACCAAGAAAACAGAAACCAACAAGGACAAATAATGAAGGATATTGTTATGGATAATACTATAGAGAGCGTTTAAGCTAAAATACTCCATTATTGCTTACTGATACGATAAGCCGGGAAGATTATATGATACTGTAAGCCTGATGAATTGCCCAAAGAGTGTCCTATTAATTAAGTTAACCAAGACAGTCATTTCCAGTGTGTTTTGCATATGAATTTCAGGCAACCAACAGGCAAGGAGAGTATGACTTGATAGTGTTACTTGTGCTTGGACAAAATGAGAAGCCCTAAAAGAAAAAGTAATTAAAAACAATCTCTGTCATGACCCAGTTAATTGACCTTTTAATGTAAAGTTAATTGAATTTCTAATGCAAATTTATCCAGGTCCTTATGAGCTATCTAGAGAAAGGAACATTTGGCCTGTACAGCATTTCCTCACAACCAGGTACACCTAGAAGCTAATAGAGAGAACATACGAAATAAAGGGAATAACCCTTGAAGTTCTTCTGAGAGAAGCTGAACATTGTGTGAATAACAGGCTCTGCCTTGCAGAGAATATGGGTGCTCTTCAGGGTCATTCTTCATATGAAACTGATCAGAAATGTAAAAAGAAATTCAAGTTATAGATACTTAGCTCTCACTACCTAAGTGAACTTCATGAAATCAAAAGCAATGCATTTAAAATCCCTAGGTCTAGGTATTCTTGTTGTGAGCAAAAGCATTTTGAGGGGAAGGAACATTGTAGTTAATTTCAGTGCTCTTCTATTAACTGGGTGGCGATTATCTAATAACCTTTCTTTGCCTAACTGCAAGCATGTGCATGGAGGAACTGCCCATCCTTTCCTTAGAGAAATGGTCTCCCATGTATTCTATGATCTACAGTGTGCCTGAGATTGTACATTATTTTTCCAAATCAATCACTTAACTCTAATGCCTGGCAAATGAGGCCATTGGCTTTCTCCTGCACTTTGTGACTCTGTGCTCAGCTCCCATAGTACAATAGTGGGATCCCACTGCAGTCGTGGCTGACGGGCCTCTCTGGTTTCACTGCCTCAATGTTCTCTTCTTGGTTGCCCAGACAACTGCAGGTGTTTTCTGCATATCTGTGATCATCTCTGCATTTGTAACAGTGCTACCATTTCTTCCAGCACAATTGAAAAACATACCCAAAGCAGACAAAGTAGAAGCTTCTTAAGTGAAACTGCTGCTTTTAAGCCACTTAGTGCTCATGTTCTTTGGGGCTTATTTGGTTTCCTTTTCAGAAACATGAGCAGGGAGTGTATGCATGTGCACCCTATCTATTAACCTCTCTTATTTAAAGGCTGGTGTTTGTGTGGAGAGAGTTCCTATAGTTTATGGAAAAAATGTAAGATATTTGAAAAAGGTGTTGGACACTTCAGTTCAAAAGCCAAGAAATTATCAGGGCTCTAAGCAGTTCAAAAGAAAGGAAATTGATGGTAAACTCTTTGGTGTAGGATTTCAATAATCTTTCACATCAGTAAAATACAGTCGATAAGCAGCACTGTTAACCATAGATTATATGTTCTAGTGTTAGGAAAATGTGTGTGATAAATACTATATGAACCCCCCAAAAGAAAGTGGAGGAAAACAAATCATGAATAGAATTAGAGACCACATAGCTTTCAGAGAGCCCAAACTGAGAAACTGTGTGTGTATATATGCATGAGTTTGTGTGCTTTAATGAAACATAAGGAACAGCTAGGATTGCTTTTTTCGGGGTCTCTGTGTATTCATATCATATTAATTTCAGCAATTGTTTTTAGGTTTTAAGAATAATTGCTTTGTATTCTAAATCTCACAGAATCTGCTTTTGGGTCCATCTTTAACATTAATGCTTCCTAAAATTAAACCACCCGGTGGAGCTTCATTATTATTCATCCTTTAATGAGTATTATATTTATGCTAGATGGTACATGGAAAAAAATAAGCCCATATTTCTTTTGGTAAGGGAGAATGCTATTAATTTACAGTGCATACATTTACGCCTGGAAAAACATTCCGGAAGGCAATAATGGGCAGCATGTTCTCCTTGCTCTGGACTTTGCTTAAATGAGAATCATTCCATCTGCCTCTCAGTTCTTATGTTCAAATGTCAGGAAGTTGTATAAGGGTTAGACATAACTAAAATTCAAATAATTTTATTCTATCCAGTTTTTATTTCTGTTTTCATTAACCTCTAGTATACCAATGCAATTGCCATACCATATACAATATCATTGCATATATGTTTATTGATAATTATTTAATCCATTTAGGCAACTCGCATATGGTATTTCAAATGCATATGGTATTTCATATCTTTTTGGTGATAATTTTACTGATATCTGTTGAGAACAGTTAGGTGTTTTTCTTGCTCTGCAACACATAAATACCAGCATTCCTATATAGGTTAAAAAACAGAAGAGACTTTAGAAACCATCAAAACACTCACTTTACAAATAAGAAGCCTGAGAACCATTAAATTTGAATAAAACCCAGGTCTCTTTAGTCCAGTCCAACAAGTTAAGTTAACAGATATAAAAAGTAATTATTAACCTGGCCAAGGAGAGATTAGTTACTTAGTAATGACCAACTATTTGAAAATCTAATTTTATCAGATTCTTAATCTTGGCTTTTTTCATAAATGACATGTTAAAGTGACACAGAAATTTATAACTTTAAGCTAGTTGGACAGCAGTAGAATGGATGTAATTAGAGTAAGAACTAGAAGAGCTAGTATGTACAGTGTAGAAACCAGGAGGTGGCAGGAAGCAAAGGTTAATGTTTTCCAGTGACCCAGTGTAAGCCAAGAGTGTAGAGCAACAAATTAGGAATGATTAGGGAAACATAAAGAACTTGGACTTTTTCTTTTCTTTTTTTAAAAATTTTCTCCAGGAAAAAAAAAAAATTTAAAATGCTCTTATTGCCATCTTCAGATAGATCCTGTTGAATAAACTGCAAAATACTTGCACCCAAGAGGCCAGTGGTTCAAAGTTCCAGAAAGTGGTTTCTCAGCTCAGTATAAGAAGTTGCTAATGATCAAACATGTCCTGAATTCGCAGGCAATAGGCAATAGTGTCATCTGTCACTTTAAGAGTATCGGCATAACTGAAAAAGTACCTCTCAGACATGTTATGGAATCTACTTGGACATTGATGCCTTGGGTGTTTGGATTCTTAAAGGTACGTTCTGTCCTGAAAAATCTATGGTTTCTGAGAAACCTTTCAGGAAAGAGGTGGGCCTTTATCCAGCTGTATCACTGTTAGGAGGAAGGTTGCTCAGAAAACACCAAGTCCCAGTTTTGTCCAAATTGAAGAGTCTTTATTTAGCCGGCGGGCCAGCGACTGCTCCCCACAGGACCCATAACTGTCTCTGCAAGGAACAGCAGCAAGCCTGAGCATATTAGGATATTTAAAGGTAAAAACTGTAAAAAACTATATCCGGGTTGCCCGTATAGTCTGGCCCATAACATTGTCACATATTATTAGGCTTCCCATCATAAAGTGAAGGTAAGAATGGACTCCTCATGTCAGAGATGCATGTGCTGGTATTAAGTGGCTTAAATTGCAAAGATTTACTCAGTAGTGAATGTCAAACAGAAATCTATTCACTAATTAAGAGGTCACATCCCAAACTGGCACAAAACCCAACAAGAAACAAATGCTTCAGGAAAACTACAATAACTATATAACACAGACTTTCAAGTAGATTGCAAATAATCCATACTGAATGAAAAATACTCAAATGCTGATGACAACAACAGAAAGACCAAG